ATGACTTAAACGAATTAATTCTGTAGAAAAATCTATTTCATGAACTAAAGGTCATCTTGCTCAATGGACAAGTGCATGTCAAAAGATATTTAATATTACAAAGCTTGATCCTGAAAATAAACATTACACAGCTAGCAATTTTTATTTTTATGTTTATAATAGTGAAGCAATCTATATAGCAAAAATTATCGCTGTATTTAAGGTAGTTCTTTATTAATTTTTCTTTAAATTTAATATACAAATTAACTAAAATAAAATAAATATTTATAGAAATATAGCACATCATATTGTCGAACTGAATCTTTGGATGAATTAAATGCCAATTGTATACATGCAATTTTATATGAACAAGATCTTTTGAATCTATATGAATTTAATCGTATTTTGATCCACTAAAAATTCAATTTGCAGTTGAAGAATATTCTTTCTGTTTTTTTAGTTCTTTGAGCAAAGTTGAAGTTAAAAGTAAAACAACTTCAACTTTCTTAGGCCGATATGTAATATTGTCAGCAATTTAATTATAACTTTACAACAAATCAATAGAGGAAATTAATCAGTTAGAATCTGGGGTTTCAGATGCTGAAGTATTAATAAAAAAAAATCTAGAATAGTATTAAACTCTAGATTTATAGCACTTTAAAAAAATTTTTTTATGTAAGTTCTACGTACAGAAATCATTTATTAATAAAAATGCTTAATATACAGTTTGTATAAAAACTAATGTATGTTATACAAGTTTATAAATTTGGTCTGTACAGAAATAGTCTTTGATCGCGGAGGTTTTATTAGTAGAGCTATACAGTATTCAGGAGCGTTTTTTAATCTAAGAAATCAAGATAACTATATAGGTATATGGTCTGACGCAGAAGAAAACAAGAAGAAAGATTCTGATATCAGTCTAATAATCTGTAAGAAATAGGAAAGACACTTAAGCCAAGTAAAATGAAGAAATGTATATTACCTAGAAGCACTTTTTGTATTTAAAAGGTATAAAGTGCTAGTCTTAGTAATATATATACTACACAATGACTCTAAGATTAGAAAAGATATTTAGCAACAGGTCATCAAAAGAACATTTGAATGTCAAAGTAAAAAAAAAGTTACGAAAGTTATGATACTAGAAGACTTTAATAATATTCATTGCAGAGAGCTAGATCAGAACAGAGACGACTTAAAGTGAGCTCAGAAACTCCCACTCTTGAACTGGCTTGAGAACTCTAGTATGATCGATACATTCAGAAAATTACACCCTTATGAAAGAAAATTCACAAGAGAAAATGATCATGTAAAGTCCAGAATTAACTATATCTGGGTATCTAAAGATCTAGGCCAAGGCTTTATCTATTGTGATATACTAGAAGCAGATATAGTTACAAACAGTGACCATGCTATTGTAGTCACAAAAATGTTAACAGGTATAAAGAAGAAAACTAGATCTTTGGCTTGTGAAAAAAAACTAAAAGAGAAAAGATAATTATTCCTTCTTGACAAGGCAACAGAAGAAAACTGAGAAGAGTATAAAACAAAACTAGACAGTTTGCTCAAGAAGAAGCTGAACATTATAAAAGATAAACATGACTTAGCTCACCTAGAGACATTAAACAAAGATAACTTGTAGGACATAATCGCAACAAGCATAATCAAGTGTGCAAGATTAACTCTTCTAGGAAAAAAGTCTATAGTAGGAAAACCTGCTTCTGTAAAAAAGAAAGAGAGCAGAAATATTAAGAAAGATCTAAAGATAATTAGAAGCATGTATCAACAATGCTCTTCAAAAATAGGTCAGCATATTGACAGTACAGACAAGTACTTAATGAATGCAAAAATAGCAAGAATAAATAGTATATACGAAACAGAAATAGAAGAGCTCTCAAAAACTATGTAGACAAAAAAAAGACATAAAGATTTAAAAGTGTGGTAGAAGATTATATATCTAAAGGCTCAGCAAGCAAGAAAGAAAGAGGATCTCAAAGAAATTAATATAGCAGTTAAACAGCACTGCGAAGCAATACAAGAAGAACTTAAACATATAATAAGCAGCCTACTTGAGAGATTTTCTAAACGAGTAGTCATAGACAGAATCGTCAAAGAAGACAACTCAGAAATAGTACTAATAAACCAGAAAGAAGAAGTACTAGAAAAAGTGAAAAATCATTTCAAAAAACAATTTCGCAAAAGAAATACCTATGCCTTAAATATGCTAATTAGATAGAAAAAAGTATATAATCCACTGGAAAAGGTAGACAGCAAAATAGATGATAGCTTAAAAGATGAGATCTCTAAAGAGGAATAGTTAAAGACACTTAAAAAGACTAAGTCTAAGTCTGCTCCAGGTCCATCTGGTATAAGCTATCTATTGATAAAAAAAGCAGGTACAATAGCACAAAAAATATTCAGACACCTTGCTAACCTGTATATCAGAGAAGGAGAAATCCTATTTAAATGGAAGCTCAGCCAACTCTACCCAATTCTAAAGAAGAGGACTAGAATTATAACTTGTCTAATACTCATCCAATTGTGTTAATTGAAACTTTCTGCAAAACAATAGTAAGAGTGCTAACACACAGACTAGACAAAACTCTAGTAGATTTCAATGTCTTGGAAGGTCCCAATCATACTGAGCTCTCAGGTGATAGCACAATGAGCCCAATTTATATAATGAACAATTTGCTCGAGGATGCAAGACAAAAAACAATGAGCTATAGATTTTATTCTAAGACATGCAAAAAGCATTTGACTCTGTAGGCTTAAAAATGCTAGAGTAAGCTCTAAAAAGAATTAAGCTTCCAGAAAATATGATTAATTTCATATTAAGCCTGTATAAGAAAAGAAGAATTAAGGTGATCACAAGTTTCAGACTAACAAATGAATTTGAAGCCGAAGATAAACTCGACCAAAGAGAAATAATCTCACCCTTAGTCTGGCGTATCTTTTATGACCTACTTCTTTGTACAGTAAACAATACAAAATATATGAGATATCAGATGATAACAAACTGGCTAACAGACATAGCTCACAACAAAACCAAAAGACTAGCATACCAACAAGCTGTGCTTGCTTATGCAGATGATACAATCTGGATAGCAAGATCCAAAGATAAGCTACAGAAAATAGTAAATATCTCAAATGAGTTTTATGAGATAAATGATATCAAAATAAATAGTAAAAAGTCAGAGTTA